ATCCTGCGTCGCCTGTTCGTACTGCTCGCACTGGTCGTCGTGTCCCACGTGAGCGTCCTCCTCCTGTCCCTGGCACTCACTACATGACTCTGCGTCCCTCCACTGCTCCTCAGCGTGTTCCGCTGCCGTCTCCTCCTGCGTCCTCTCTGCCTACTCTTCCTGATCCGGAGTCTGACTCCCGTCGTGCTGCCAGTCCCACTGTCACGCGTCTTCTCGCTACTGTTGTCACTGACCCTACCTTTGAGTCCTCTGCTGCGTCTGCTCTGGTCGCTGAGTTGATAGACTTTGCTGCCCGGTGTCGTCTAGACTACGCCACTAGCCTTGTTGCTGAGTCTGAGTCTGAGTCTGTCTGTCCTCCGTCCGTCGGGGGTGAGTGTGCTCTTGGCACGGACGTCCTTGAGGACAGACAGGAGGAGTTCCAGTGCTTTGCTGCTGCTTTACCCCACCTCGTGTCCATGCTAGTTGCCCCTGAGGGAGACCCGGATGCACCAGACATCCCGACCCCGCGCACCTACGCTGAGGCGATGGCGGGTCCCTACTCCTCTCAGTGGCAGACAGCCATGGACGCAGAGATGGCTTCCTGGAAGTCCACACGCACCTACGTCGACGAGGTTCCCCCACCTGGGGCGAACATCGTCAGTGGCATGTGGATTTTCAGGGTGAAGCGGCCACCGGGTTCTCCTCCGGTCTTCAAGGCGCGCTACGTGGCTCGAGGCTTCAGTCAGCGAGAGGGAGTTGACTTCTTTCAGACCTTCTCCCCCACCCCGAAGATGACCACTCTTCGGGTGCTGCTGCACATAGCCGCTCAGCGCGACTACGAGCTTCACTCACTTGACTTCAGCACTGCTTTCTTGCAGGGCAGCCTGCACGAGGAGATCTGGCTGCGCCGCCCTCCTGGCTTCACTGGGTCGGTTCCTCCTGGTACCCAGTGGAGGCTTCAGCGGCCGGTCTACGGTCTCCGCCAGGCACCGCGTGAGTGGCACGACACACTGAGGACGACACTTGCGGCTCTTGGGTTCGCTCCCTCTACTGCTGACCCGTCACTGTTTCTACGCACAGACACCTCGCTGCCGCCGTTCTACATCCTCGTGTACGTCGACGACTTGGTCTTTGCCACTGCTGACACCGCGGCACTCGCCCACGTGAAGTCGGAGCTGCAGAGGAGACACACGTGCACAGACCTGGGTGAACTGACAAGCTATCTTGGCTTGCGGATCACTCGGGACAGAGCACGGCGCACCATCACCCTGACTCAGTCACACATGGTGCAGCAGATCCTTCAGCGCTTCCGCTTCACGTACTCCTCGCCTCAGTCCACTCCTCTGCCTACCGGTCACTCGCTCTCAGCTCTGCCTTCGGATGAGTCCGTAGAGCCGAGTGGCCCGTATCCAGAGCTTGTGGGCTGCCTCATGTACCTGATGACCTGCACTCGACCTGACCTGGCATACCCTCTTAGCATCCTTGCACGCTATGTCGCTCCTGGCCGTCACAGGAAGGAGCACATGGATGCTGCTAAGAGGGTGTTGCGCTACTTGTGCAGTACGTCGGGCATGGGGCTAGTGCTTGGAGGGCGAGACCGAGTTGTACTTACTGGACACTCAGACGCTTCTTGGGCGGACGACCAGGCCACTCAGCGGTCGTCTCAGGGTTACACCTTCAGCCTTGGCTCCGGCTCAGTTTCTTGGCGTTCTACACGCTCTTCTTCTGTTCTCAGCTCCAGTTGTGAGGCTGAGATCTACGCCACAGCCATGGCTGCCCAGGAGCTACGCTGGCTGACCTACCTGCTGACCGACTTGGGAGAGCGGCCTCGTTCTCCTCCAGTGCTGTACGTCGACAACAAGGCTGCCATTGCCTTGTGTGAGGAGCACAGACTGGAGCACAGAACGAAGCACATCGCCCTGCGGTACTTCCTTGCTCGAGAGCTGCAGCAGCGTGGTCAGCTTTGTCTGCGTTACGTGGCCACTGAGGCCAACCTTGCTGATGTGTTCACCAAGGCGCTTCAGCCTTGTGACCATCAGCGTTTCTGTACTCTTCTAGGCCTTGTGCCTGCTGGACCTCACTTGCTTACTTCTTGACTCTGCTTGTACTGTGATCTATATATATATATACCTGCATGTTTACACTTGCTAGGTTGTGATCATTGTATCTCTTGCTATATTATGAAACTGCATGTGAACTGGTCTTGTGACCACTTGCTTGTGCTCAGAATTTGTGTGGTATCCTTGAGATCCACCCTGAGCTTGCTTTGCTTTGCTTTGACTGGTCTCATGACCCTGTGGTTGTCTCCCACTGCGCCTATGGGGGTGTGTCAAACATTGTATGTTTATATTGTGTAGGCTGTAGTGGGTTACACCTTAGGGGGTACACAAAGTTAGGGTTTCCTACTTGTACCAAACTCTGAGCTAGTTCATTCATTCCTCGTTCAGTTATTCTGACATTATTGCCGTAAAAAATGTAAAGTTTTATGATTTGTAAATTTCCACATAGAGCAGGATTTGTGGAATTATATACTAGAGCATGTTTTACTATTTTATCCGTTCAGGGAAGAGCCAACTGAACGGGCTCTTTTTTTTCGAAACGTACAAAATTTTTAAGAATGAGATTGAAGCCAAGGAGTCGGAGTATACAAGTGGGAACGATTCTGGGCATTAGCTTTCAATGAGGCAGAGATCAACGATGGAAGAAATTCTAGTGACACTACTATATCAAATGAAGACGACAAAATCGACATTGGAAATGAGCTGAACATGGATGAGCCACAAAAAAAAATTGTTGACATTTTTTTCCGCATCAATGTTGACGATTCCGAATACTTGCGGTTAGAGAATGTACTCAATACTGAGCAACGTTCAGTGCGTGATCACATTGTACACCATATCCAATCGTAGAAATCGCCGCTGCGGTTGTTTATAACAGGTGGCGCCGGAGTTGGGAAATCTGTGCTCATCAATGTCGTGACATAGAGGATATCTTGAATGTTCAATGCGCCTATTCATACAAACCCATGTTCAATAAAAGGTTTGAAACTGGCACCGCTGTGTATTGCTGCATTTAACATAAGTGGATATACTATCCATAACACGCTAACGATACCCGTTCCTCCGAATAAAAGTCTTTTTAATCTATCTCACCGCCGATAGATTAAACACACTGCCTTCACGTTTTTGCGATGTTAGAGTCGTTGTTGTCGACGAAGCCTCAATGCTCGGTAAGCACATGTTTCACTGGTTGGATTTGTCAGAGGTCCACTGGAGATCCCCGATGATCCTAGGGAAGGGTTACAGGCATGTTGGCCTGGGGGGTTATGGGCGCACTCACCCGCTACACAAACAAGCCCTTTTATCCCAGTGGTTAGTGGCTGGGATTCTGAGATTCGAAAAAAATATGTGGTTTGCATGCATATTTGCAATTGTACGTTGATGGTAAGGTGCATGTTGTAATCAATGTGGATACTACCGATGGTGTTGCGAACGGTACACCTACGACTGTAAAATTGTTTTCTTCAAATGAAACGGGTGAAGTTGTTGTTATATGGGTGTTTTTTTATGATCCTCGTATTGGAAAAAGGATGTGACGCGATTGCTACCAACTTTTTCCTTTTTGGAAAGTTTCCGATGCAACAAAATAGAGAGTTTTCCATCAATCGTAAGCATGATACAGTAGCAAGGTTACAATCTCCTCTTCATCCAGGTGACGCCATTAGTGTGCATCGAAGTCAAGGTTCTACGTTCAGTTCGGGTGTGGTTCATTTTCACCGACATCTTTTTCACCATACGGCTTACGTTGCCCTGAGTATATTTCGATCGTCACAATCATTATATTTAGAGAACTTTTCAGCCGGGTCGATCAATGTAGATAAAGAAGTGGTAAGAGAGATGGGGCGTCTACGGAAGTCAAGCCTATCTGTAGTTCCAAAACCCATGAATATCATCGCGTTAAAACCCGCACGTGGAAGATTTGCATTTCATAATGTGCGCAAATTGAGCGGACATCTCTAACACCTTCGAATCACTTAGCTCGTTTGATTTCGTGGTACTACTTGAGACACATCTTTCTAACGACCAATCCCACGACGATATGTTTTACAACTTATCTGTATTTCGCCAAGATTCTACATTTGGAGAAACACTTATTGCTTTAAATAATGAACTAGTCACACTGCTATTTCATGAGATTTACAATAAAATCCAGTTTGTTGTTCTTGAATACACTTTCTGTGCCACATTCCCACACCTCCATTGTTCCGGCTTCTCTACTCACCAGACCTTAAGGCCGCCATGAATCTCGTGAAAAGTACCGTCCACGTATTTTCACCGTGGCTCCCGTCGCCATGTCTTCTCATCTCGCCATGGATGTAGTATCGTCTTAATCTTCATGATCCCCTTTTGCTTGGAGTAGAACGGTTCGTTTACAAAACGGAATTTGGTCAGAAATTAGTTTTCTGGAGATATCCAGGAATCCTGGCGGCTGATACTAAGCGATGTTCTTCTCGCGACTATATTTTAAAATTTCGATTCGCGTGATCCCTACTACGGCTTCATCATCAGCGCTTTAGTAGCCGGAACCATCAACGTGTCATGACGCTATTCTTCTTGAAATCTCAACTACATAAGAACGGCGAGCAACACCGTATTGGAATTCCCGCTTCTGCTTCAACCGCCACGGACTAACGACGACGGACAAGCGATGACGGACAAGCGACGACGGACATTGCGGATGCTGGCGACTTCCGCATGCAACGATTTGAGGATGATGGCGACCAACCGCGAGCGTCGTTGCGGATGCTGGCGACTTCCTCATGCAACGATTTGAGGATGATGGCGACCAACCGCGAGCGTCGTTGCGGATGCTGGCGACTTCCTCATGCAACGATTTTAGGATGATGGCGACCAACCGCGAGCGTCGTTGCGGATGCTGGCGACTTCCGCATGCGAGTCCGACGATGCATCTGACAACGTTCATACGAATCCGACGACGAAGCGCGAAGCGTTCCGTGGTACATGACATACACACATGGGATACTCACCATTCAGTTCGCCATGGTTAGTTCAAGCATTTTTTAAAAGCAATCTTCCAGTGCTTTGCGTATTGAAATCTTGGGTGATTCTTTGTTATTTTTATTTTGTTTGATACCTGAATGCTCACAGATTGATAATGTGTGTGTGATTCGACTTGTGCAGGTGACCCAAGGGAGGGTTCGGCCACCGCTGCTGCAGTTGAATAAGGAGTGCAGCTGCACCGTCAGTGCGATTCAGCTGCCTGGATGTGCGCGACCGTCTGTGTGATTCAGCAGCCTGGAGGTGCGCGACCATCTGTGGAATATCTGGTGCTGCAGCTCCTACAAAGCTGCTGCAGTACGGAGGTTCGGCGGCTGCTGCTGCAATGGAATATCGGGTGCTGCAACAGTTGAGAACAGAAGCTGCTGCACCGAAGGAACGGCCACCGGAGGAACTTCCGCCATGGTAAGCTGAATCTGTTTTTTCATTACGTTGAATGTTGGAAACCTGAGAGATTCTTTTATTTTCTTAGGGCGTGTAACATTGTAATGACCAAACGCCATGGTCGTTCTTTGGACGTTTCTGACGATTGCGAGGAATTAGGGTTACGCCGTTTAGAAGTGGTCACCCCAATGTGACCAAATGGCAGGGGGTATTCTGCTTAGAACTTGGACGCACTGCATTTTGGGACCTACGTAGACATGTTTCCTCAGCGAGGGGAAAAATCTCTGTGCTCGCCTAAACTTAATGCTTTGTTAAACAATCTGGTCTAGTCCTCAGAGCCCCCTGTATTCCTACCTTGTTCGAATGCAGTAGTAAGAAACAAAATTTTCGCTTTCAATTACAGGGATGGTTTGTGGCGAATGCCCCACGCGCTCACGAAAAGTGTGGCGGGGATCACTTACGCGTTACATCGTTTCGCAATCGCCAGTAACGCACAAAGGGTGGAAAATTGGTTTGGTCGTTACAATTTTACACGCCCTTACCTGTTTTCAAATTTTGAATGTTCAGTCTCTGATGCTGTTTTGTCTGACCTGTGCAAATCGCCCAAGGCCTGCTGCTGCACGGCGAGGAGGCGACGCTAACTTGCGGGTGCGTACAGAAGCGAGCCATGACGCGAGGTGGCGAGCGACGGCTGGAGAGCGGCGAATCGGAAAGTGACAGACGGGCGAGCGCGGCAACCGGAAAGCAACGAGCGGGCACTGAACCTCGCTAAGTCCTCGCTAAGTCCACGAATCTTGTGAAGTTCCTACGAAGCATTCCGCTATGGTAAGTTGAAGCGATGTTTCAGCATATTGAAATTCCGAGCATTGATTCGGCATTCCTATGAAATTCCGAGTGATGTTTCACGAGTTGCTTTTATCGGTTTGCAACTGAAAGTTCTGGCACTGATGCTGTCCGGTTTGTCTTGTGCAGGTCCAAGGCTTGCTGCTGCACTTTGCTGCTCTCCTGCTGAGCCTAATGGGAGCAACGGCTGCTGATCTTGATGAGCAGCAACAGCTGCTGCTTGATTGGTGGAATGGCGCTGCACTACTGAAGTAGGGACGTCGCTGCAGCTCCTAGAAAGCTGCTGCAGTACGGAGGTTCGGCGGCCGCTGCTGCAGTGGAATATTGGGCGTTGCAACAGCTGAGAATGGGCGCTACTGCACCGGAGGAACTTCCGCCATGGTAAGCTGAACTTTTTTTTTTTTCAGTACTTTGAATATTGGAAACCTGAGAGATTCTCTTCTTTTGTTGCATGTTTTCAAATCTTGAATGTTCACTCACTGATGCTGTTTTTCTGACCTGTGCAGATCGCCCAAGGCCTGCTGCTGCACGTCGAGGAGGCGAGGAGGCGACGCTGACTTGCGGATGCGTACGGAAACGAGCGAGGACGCGAGGTGGCGAGCAGTGGCTGGAGAGCGCCGAATCGGAAAGTGACAGGCGAGCGAGCGCGGCAACCGGAAAGCAAGGAGCGGCCACTGAAGCTCGCTAAGTACCCTCCTCAACCCCTTGCACTCGCGCCTTCCCCCCATGCCCCGTTGTCGTTTTCTCCTTCTGCATCTATCGTTTCTTCTCGTGCCAAACTCAACGTTGTCTTATAAGGCGCATGGCGGCGGTGGTTCAGGGTGCACTTTGGCAGGCGAGCTCACGTAGAGTCCAGAGCAGAGAGAGGGTCCAATGGGTGTAGCATAGCTTAGCAGTGCATTCATGCCATGTGCGCGTCCCTCTCGTCCCTTGCTGCCTTAGCGCGCTGCTATCGTGCCCTTGGGCCACTGTCGTCATGCACCTTCCCCCTCCCACCCCTCCCCAGCCGTTCACTTGTCGCTTTGCTGTGCTGAACTTTCACACTTTTCTGTTGTTCTTCGCTTGAGCTCTTTCTCTCTCAAGCAGTCCTTCATTGAATTATATATATAGGGTACAAGCAGGGCCAGGGAGGGTTCATGCAGGCCAACTAGCCTAGGCAATCCAACGACTAGGAAGGCTGGGCAGCTAATGCACCCGGCGGCCAGCTATCAACATGGTGCTCTTTCTCTCTCTCTCTCTCTCTCTGCCGCTCTGAGGCTGATTCTGTTCTCTCTCTTCCAATCTTCTTGGTTGCTCCTCTTGCAGAGCCAGCAGACGGCAGCAGTGGGATGGCGGCAGTGGAATGACGCACGGCAGGCAGCACTGCTGCTGCCCTGCTGACCACTGCTCGCCTCTCAGGGAGCACGGCGCACTCAAGGGATTTGGCGAGCGGCAAACTGCGGAAGCGGATGGAGCGACAGCTGAGGCGAGGAGGACAGAGGCGGGCGCCGCTGCCTCGACCCCTGCCTGCTGAATAAGGCTACGAAATATCGTTACTCTTGTTTTTTTTCACACACTTGCTCGCACTTGTTCGCTCACTGCTCGCTTCCGCCCTCATAGCCGCCTCCTCCTCCGCGCGCCACTCGTTCCTCCTCCTCCAGCTTGCACCGGCGGCACCATTGGACCATTCCCCAGGTGTGTTGAGGTAACAGCAGCATCATGCGTAAGTAGGTGTGCTCAGGTACGGTACGGTCCTTTGGTGCCCGCCCTGCAGCTGCCACCCACCACCTCGCCTGCGCTGCCGCTGCCGCTGAGACTGCTGCTGCTGCAGCTGCCACCCACCACCCCGACTGCCCTTGCTGTTGCCGCTGCTGCTGCCACTGCCGCTGACGCTGCTGCCGCTGCCGCTGGCACTGTCACTCACTTCACTGCACTGTTACTCCCACTCACACCGCCTTCAGATGATGCATGCTTTCCAGTTTTTTTCGTCTTGCGTTTCCCGTTGCTTTCATGTATGCTTGTCAGTTTTCCATATCTCTTTACTAATCACCCTCTCCTCCAGCCCACATCTTCTACTTGTACGCCTACAGGCCGGCACACGCCATACGTGGGGAGCAACAGTGAGGGGGGAGCAGCAACGGGCGAGGCAGCGAGGGGGAGGCAGCGACGCTCTGGTGGGATGGCTTTCGCCGCCGCGGCCAGCGGTGGGTTACCTGAATCTCAATGCTTGCCGTATTCCGTTTCGTTTCGCTCTGATTTGCTCTTCTGGCTTCCGTTGTGTTCCTTGGCTTGCTAATCGCCCGCTTCGTTTTTCCGTCTGTGCTAATAATCTGTTTGTTTTCTTTCGCTGCAGCGCGCTCTTACACGAGGTGCCTTCTTTCCTCGTCGCGGCGCCTCTCCTCAAGCTCCAAGTCATGGTGGGAGTGTCGTTCCACGTCGGTAGCGGCGACTGGCGCCTTCGACGCCGCGGCCAACGGTGGGTTACCTGAATCCTTGTACTTGCCTTGATCCGTTTTTTTTCCGCGCTAACGTTTTCTGATTTGCTGTTCTGGCTTCCGTTGCTGGTCGTCCATCTTTCATATTTCCGTTTGTGCTAATGATTTTGTTTTGTTTTTTTTCGTTCTTTCTTTCGCTATAGAGATCACTGGACCGCTGCTCCTAAGCACTGCTGCCCAACGACTTCTGCCGAATGACTCTTGCTGCACGACTTCTTGCCAACCGCTGCTGCCGAGCGACTAAGGCGAGGAAGGATGGCGCCACTGCTGCCGCACCGGAGGAACTTGTGAGTTGCCTTCCCTTAGTTGCGTTCCCTACGTTAGCTGAATCTGTTTTTTAGCACCTTCAATATTGGAAGCTGAATTTGTTTTCTTTTGGCACCTTTAGTATTGGAAGATCAATCTGGAAGCTAAATCTGTTTTCTTTTAGCACCTTTAGTATTGGATGCTGAATCTGGTTTTTTGTAGCACCTTCAATACATTGCCGCCGTCCGTCGTTTTTTTTTTTTTCCTTGGTTCCTTTGTTCCTCTCCCCCTCCCCCATCTCTTTTCACCCTTTTCAGTGCACGCGGCAAGCAGCAAGGCAGAGCGTGCCTGTCTACCCTCCCCCCACACCGGCAGCAGGAAGGCCAGGAGGCAACACGAGGATGCGACGCGATGATGCAAGGAGGCGAAGGTGCTGACTTGCGCAGCTGAGGAGGCGATGCGGCGACAAGGAGGCGAGGGGCTGCTGGCAAGGAGTCGAGGCGTGGGCGAACCTTTCCCCACCTGCGACCCAACTTATGTGAGTTCCCTACCCGCCCAGCTTATATGTGTGTTGTGCTCTCACTGACTTGTTACTTTTTTAAGCAATGCCCTATGGCTTCATTGCCCCAACTGGTTCATTGTCCCTATCGCTTTTCTCGTGCGCTGGCTCACCTCCTTGTCTCCAAGTGCTCTCCTCCCCGTCCTTGCAGAGGCACAGGGCTGAGGTGACATTGGGGCACAGCGCATGGGCGTGGGGAGGCCATGAGCTGCAGAGGAGGTGCAGAGGAGAGGAGGTGCAGAGGAGAGGAGGTGCTAGAATCACTGACTGGCGGGGCTGCTCCGCCATTCACCTTGTAAGTTGCCAGGGACTGATGATATGCTCTATCACCTGTGCAGGTCGCCCACGCACTTGAGGCAGAGGTAGCTACGGGGCGGTGGGATGATGCACGGCCTGGGCATGCCCTGCTGACCACCGCTCTCCCTGCATGCACCTCCCGGCAGCAGCAGCAGCAACAGCAGCAGCAGCAGCAGACATTGGACATTGAGCCATTGGTCTGGACATTGAGCCATCGGTTTGGACATTGGTTTGGACATTGGGTTTGGATATTGGCTAGCTAGGGGCAGTGCCCTGAGGCAAGCGGGCAGAGGCCCGAGCGTGTGAGGCGCACGCGGCAACGGCAGGGGCGAGCTTGATGGTGAGTGCATGCTTGCAGCACGGTGTGTGTACGGGCGTGGGTACGCGCTCGTGCGTTGCTGCAGCGCCTTCAACGTGCCACCTTCAGGAGTGACAAGACCCTGCCTTGCAGCAGACTGCGTCCCACACTCACGGTACGTCGCTCGTCGTGTTCCCGCCTTTCCTTGTTGCTTTTGCCTCTTCTGTCTTCGCTCCGTTCGCTTCCTTGTTCACGGTTCCTTGACTTACCACCATGCTTGTTGTTCCATGCAGCGCACTCACCGCAAGCGCATGCAAAGGGAGGCGCATGGGCGTGTGGCTGAGGTGGACGGCACCTGGCTGAGGTGGACGTGAGCGTCTTGGGATGTCACAGGTGTGTGGCTGACCTGGCATTGGCTGGCAGTCACAGGTGTGTGGCTGCCTCCTACCCGCCCTGCTGACCACGCGCTCGGAGGCAAGGGGCGGAGGAACGTGCGACGAGGAGGTGGCGAGGTGGAGTGGAGCGATGGTTGGGTGGAGGAGGATGGGTGCTGCACCGCACCTGTGCGAGGAGGCGGGTGGCGACTGGAGAGGCGGAGGCTGCTGCACTGCACCTGTGGGATGGCGGCAGTGGGATGACGCACGGCAGGCACCACTGCTGCCCTGCTGATCACTGCTCACGTGCGGAGAAATGGCAAGGCGAGGAGGGAGAAGTGCCGCTGCCGGCGAGCGTGCGTGCATGCAGCTTCGACCCCTCTTGAATACGGCTAAGAAATCTCTCTTCCCTTAATATTTTCACGCACTTGTTCTCACTCGTTCTTTCACTGCTCGCGTGCTCCTCCTCCTTGTTCTTCGCCTGCTCGTCTTGCTCGTTCTTTCCGTGTCGCTGCATCCTTTGTCAGATTTCCGCATCGCTGCATCCTTTGTCAGATTTCCGCATCGTTGCATCCTTTGTCAGATTTCCGTATCGCTACATTTTTCACTCCTTCATTTTCTCCTTAATCATCTTCCTCTTAGGCATGCGGGGGAGCAAGTGTGTTGGGATGACGCACGGCCAGCAGTCCTACCCGCCCTGATGACCACGCGCTCGGAGGCAAGCCGCGGAGGAACGCGCGACGAGGCGGCAGCGCCGCGACGAGGCGTCTTTGTCCCAAGTGTGCTGGCTTCTCCCCCTGCATCCATGGGGTGAGGCGGAGGAACGAGATGGAGAGACTGACGGGCTGGCTGAGGCAATTACAAGGACGGGTGTTGTTGAATGGACAGTGAGCGCCATGAAGTGACGAGTGTTGGTGCAACCCTACGGTTTGCACTCGGCTTGTTGTCCGTGTGCGTGTGCGTGCATGCGTGTGTGCATGGAGTGGTATGAGTGCATGAAATAAATATATATTTCATGCTTATAATAGTGTGTGAATGATGGGTCATGTATCGAGGGTGTGTGTGTGTCGAGTCTATAGCGAGTTATCGCTAGCCGCGTGTTAATGCGGTCATTTGTGTCTCGCGCGCGGTTTCTATTTTGTCGTGTGTCCCGTGCGCGGTTTCTATTTTGTCCTGTGTCGAACGTTCGGCGTGTCGCAGGTGTGTGCAGCAGACCCATCAAGAACTCAAGGTTGAGTTTGTGATGAAGAACCCGAGCCTTGGTTACAAGCTTCAAGTGATTTTTCGAAGCTGGCCAAAAGGGTACACCTCAAGATATTGAAGATAGTTACATTACAATTTGTAGTGTAACATTTCTATGGGTGTAGGCCTTTGTGGAAGGTAGTTTCGAGACCCTTCTTGGTTGGGGACAGTGTGGCACTGTTCCCCATCACTGTACCTCGGTTCTTGGGGTTTGTAGGAGCTGGGAGTCCTTCCCAACTCGTAACTCTTCCTAGCTGTTCGTAATTGTGTGTTCTAAGACTATGTTGCTGCCATAGTGCCGTTCGTTCAAACCGACGCTGTGTCGTCAATTCTTGATGAAATCGTGCGATCTAAATTGCCTGTTGTATGCGACTTTAAGACGCTCCAGATCCAAGTTGAATGAGGTCAATTGGAGGTGTGAGCAGATCGCTATGATCGTTTAAAGCCGCTGTGCAGAAATCCGACTGTGCACTCTATCTTTCGTTTTAGGCACATTGAAGCCTATTGTGACTATAACAACAACGAGGGGCGGACGGACTCGGTCATTTGAGAGTGGCAGGCCCCCAACTCTCTCTTGGTCTTGTCCTGAAGCACGGGGCCACCCTCGGCCTCTGCGGCTACTCACATACCTACAGCAGGCCCTTGGATTTGTCCTCTTCCATGCCTCTGTCCCACGTCCTCCTGACCCTCACTCCGTCCTCACTCCTCCCCCTTCCATTCCCTTCAGTTCGGGCCTTCACGTGGAGGGCGGGGGGACAGGCAGCGGGGCAGCAGTGGAGGCGTTCTCTGCTAAATCCCACCCTTCCTTCCTTCAGGGCTTCACAAGGGGCAGCGCGGCGGGGCAGCGCGGGGCGAGGGCAGCGCAGGGGGCATCAAGAGGCGCCTCTCTGCAATAACCCCCCCTTCCTTCCCTTCAGCACGGCGGTTAGCGCGGCGGCACGGCGGGCGGCACAGCGTAGAGGGCGACACGGACAGAGGTACGATGGCTTGCTCCATGCTTTTCACTTGCTCCTGTTGCCGTATTTGCTCCTGTTTTTTTCGTCTTGCGTGTGTTGTGTTGGTCGTCCCCCCTCCCCTCCCCTCCCCTCCTCTCCCTCCTCTCCCCTCCCCTCCCCACTCCCCTTCCCCTGCAGGTTGATAGACAACAGTCAGCCGCCAGGTTGGGCGGGGCGGCACGTACGGTTCGGCACGTACAGCAGTGAGTTTCGGTTTCAACGCTTTATGCTTTGTTCTTCTGTTTTCCATTCCCTGCATCGCTATCCGTTCATTTCTCTTCAGTTTTGATGAGATTCACATATGCATTCAGTCATTTTCATGCATCCATCATCGGCCTCTACAGGTGTCCTCCTTCATTGTCAAGCTAAAGATTCGCAAAGTGGAGTCGGGTTTCATGTCGCGAGCCGTGTGTCAAGTTAGCGATGCGAGCGGATCGTACGGCCTAACAGCATTGGGTTTGTCTGCGGACTGCATCATACGGCTGGTGGAGGAGGAGAAAACGCTGACCATGACTTCCCAGACGGAGACATCAGTCGTCCTGTGGATCGCTGAGCTCTTCCAGAACGACAACCAGATCATGACGACCAAATGGTGCGATATGTATTTGTGCATTAGTGATTAATGCATCTGTATTGTCTATCTATTTCAAATTTGACAATCTATTATCAACGTGACATTTATCATTTCAATTTATTATCTATTGACAAATAGTGATTTATCATCTCACGTTGATAATAAATTGTCTTATCGTGTCACATATTCCATGCATCCATGTTAGGTCGAGGATCATCGAGATCACAAACAGCGCTGTCATTGCTCGCATTGCCCCAACCGTCGGCCGGCTGCCCCTGCCCGCATTTCCTGTTGACTTCAGCATTGTCACATCGTAAGTGTATCCTACAGTTTCTTATCATATTTTCATTCTCTTATGCATTTCTGGGCTACTATGTTGTAGTTTCTCGTTGCTGTTTATTTTATCATTCATACCAAATATGTCTAATTCTTTGTCTTTCATATGCGTTGTTTACTTTGACCATTTTCCTTTGTTATTCGTTGTCTCCTTTCTCGACATGTTATCCAAAGCATATACTTTTTATCGAATTTGCTTATACATAGTTATGTATCTATTAAGTTAATTTGTACTGCTATTGTCATTTAATTATGTAGTTTGCATAGTTGCATATGTCATTCTTTTATACAATATTCAAACAGTTTGGGAGCAGTGACTGACAATGCTCTCGCATTGGGACGAGCCGTCGTATGCACGCTCAACGTGGATATCCGCGACGCTCGTACCACTACAAAGTGGACTTGTTCATTCAGCCCACCAGAAGACAGCACGAACGTGTGCCGTTTGCCTGTGGGTTGGTGCTGCTCAAGTGATGCGTTCCTTTGCGACAACGGGGCATGCCATGCCAAACGCAACCAGGCGTGACAAAATCGTCGTTGTGTTTGACACAACAACACGTATGTATTTTGCTTTAAATCTTTGTTATTTGATCATATTTTTTATATTGTTCTTTTTTCTTGTCACATGCATCTTTGTACATTTTTGGCATGCTCACTTCATTCTTGTTTGTTTTCAATTGCTATTCCAATTCTTCCATTCAGATTGCACTAACGCGTTCGCTATGTCATACTTTGCCATCTATTATCGCATTCTTTTTCGTTTGATTACACTCCGTTTCAAACATTCTATCAATTCTACTTTGACTGCTTGTCCACATTCTCTTTGTTACACATATTGTACCTCAACTTTTTTACTTTACAAATATCACTTTATTGTACCCTTACTTCAAATATTCTACTATTTTTACCTCCAACTGCTTGTCCACATTCTCTTTGTCATAGTTATTTTACCTCAAACATTTCTTCACAGCCTTATACTCTCACTCTTTCTGACGATTTATTTAAAAATAATGTTCGCATACACACCCTCTACAGTTGGAAAGTCTGGTCGCACTGGTGTTCGTGCTATGGCGAGTCTGAGTGCTCTCAAGAGTGGATTGGACAAATTCAGCATTGCGACATGGACCGCCGCAGCAACTGATGAGAAAAAAGGAGATCTTGTTAGGCTTGCTCAACAAGCGATGACATATTCAGGTGACCCTTAGCATTTAAATCCTCTACTATATCTTGTGATTTTCTTTCAAACGTTTGTACTGCTTGATTTCAATGTGGATCGCCGGTTTGTTATTTTGGTTTCCTTGACATATTAGATGTTCTCTCTGACTGCAGATGTTCACAAATGCAGCTGGAAACAATTTTGAAAGAACAATCACATCGTTCTCGCTGCTGTCTTCAAATGTGATAGCATTGTTTCTTACTTTGCAATCAAAGTTCCGAGCCTATATGTTGCAAGTACTGTCATTTTGATATTCCGAGCTTATAAATATTACTAAAACACTTCTATCAATGTACCCTAGATTCATTTTCATTAAACATTGCCTTTTTTTCTCCCTTGTTTCCCTTGTTCTATTAGGATAAGCATGAGGTATCCATGAACGAAAACAAGCGCACAGCGATAACTGCTCCTTCATGTGTTCCGGCAACACCAGTGAAAATCAATCAGTGCCGTGGTGGTCTTGTAAGTTACAAGCTATTGTCAGTCACTCATTCTTTCCCGTCAGCGCTGGCCACCCACCCCAACTGGTGTACGCTACAGATAGACGTCGCAAACGCCTTCAATTCGTTTCACCGCCATGCGATGTTCGAGGGGCTGCGGGAGTCGCCTTTCTCGGGGATGATCCCGTTCTTGCGTGTTTTCTATGGGACACCTAGCGACCTGTACCTCCGAGCGGGCCCTTTCGTAGAGAGCCTCGAGTCGGCACGGGGATTGAGGCAGGGGGGCCCGCTCGGCCCTTTTTTCTTCGCGTTCACGCAACAGCAGGTGATGAAGCCGGTTACTAGGGAGTTCGGGGACCTGCTTTTCCTCAGCTATGAAGACGATACCTATATTTTGCGGCCAGCGGCTAGGATTCTGGAGGCTTTTGGGGTGATGCTGTCAACGGGAGTTGTGTTTGGCCCCGTCCTCGCTTGGGCGGAGCCGACCTTGTGGTCGGGTGCGCGGGAGATGCAGCCGACCTGCAGCAGTGGGCACGGGGGCCACTGCATGGGCGCCGAGCAGGTGGACGCCGTCCTTAGTGTCTGGGCGGCGTCCTGGGCATCTGCACGGGGAGGCTGGACGCCGAGCTGGGCGTCTGCTCGGCGTCCTGTGCGCCTGGACGTCGACCGGGGCGTCTGCTGGGCGTCCTGGGCCGACCTGGGCGTCTGCTCGGCGTCCGGAGAGGCTGGACGCCGACCTGAGCGCTTGCTCGGCGTCCCGGGCGTCTGGACGCCGACTGGGGCGTCTGGACGGCGTCCTGGGCGAGAGGACGCCGACCAGGATGTTAGGACGCCGACCTGGGGACGCCGGGCTTGGTGTAGCCGGCGTCAGGCAGGGCTGGACGACCAGGCAGGGTTGCCCGGTCGACCAGGATACCCGGGCGACGTGTGCGAAGGTCGCCGGGGGCGGATTCTGCGAGGACGACCTCGGGGGTGGTATCCCGAGGTCGACGTGGCTGATGGGCGCCGTCACGAGCGGGAATGTCTGCGCTGGGCACGTGACGAGGAGTTGGACGCCAACCAGCCGCGCACACCTGCGAAGCAGGTGCACCGTTGTCATGCGGGTGCAACGCTGTGCAGCCGACTTGCTGCAGCGTTGGCGCACCGCAGACTTGCAACGTTGGCGCGCCGCAGCTCTGCAGCGCTGGAGCGGTGCGAGCATTGCTGCGCTGGAACGCGGTCGACCGTGCTGCGCTGGAGGTCGACCAGCAGTTGTGCTAGCTCTGATGTAGTGATGCATGCCAATGTTGTTGCAATCATTCTGAACTATCATTGTGATGTTTTCCTAGTGGAACTCTTGCCAATTCTCCCCGTGAACTAGCAAGTAGTGTGCGCACAAGGAAACGACTAAGGAACGAACGCAGAGCTACCTCTCACGCACGTGCCTTCCCCGTAGTCAAGCTCCCGTTTCGAGAGTTATCACCGCATGGTGCGGTGAGCGTGGACGACACCGCGAAGGCACCTTCGATTTAGCCGACTTAGCACTTACCTAGCTTGTTCGTAGGCCGGCGGCTGTGCGTTAGTCACCATGGTAGGAGCCGTAGGTGACGCCGGGGTGGTAGACACCCTGGAGGCACGGCTGGAGAATGCGAGGAGGAAGCACGAGGCCAACGAGTACGGCGACCTGCCGTGGGCGGTCGTCGAGGCCGGGCTCCGCAGCATGTGGGCGGCGGAGCACCCTTCTCGGCCTGCTTCTCCTCGACCGGTGAACACCGAGGGCGGCGTCGACGTGGGCGTCAACGCCGGGGGAGGCCAGGTCGGCAGCAGTGCGGGAGGCACGTCGAGGCAGAGAGGAGTGATACACGCCGGTGAAGTCGGCGGCGTTCAGGCGCGAGGGATGCAGTCGTCGGCGGCTGCAGGGACCTCGCAGGGCTACGTCGGAGGACGACGAAGTGGACTGGCGCCGATGTCGGCGTCACACGTGACAGCGGGAGGGATTGCGCCGAGCTACGGCTACTTCAAGTTTACGCCGGACAGGATCCAGGTCACCCCCCTGCTGGTCGGTCGACCGGACATCCTCACCTGGAAGGAGGCGATCGAGCCTCAACTGGAGATGGCCGGGCTGATCGGCTTCGCTCGTGGGACCGTGGAGACGCCGGAGGAGATCTACCCCGACTTGCGTGCGGAGTTTCGCGCCGTGCAGCTGCTGACCTTCACGGTCATCTCGCGGTGCTGCTCGCCGGGTGTGCAGATCGCCTTGAAGTGGTGCAGGGAGTACCTTGACGCCGGGCACCAGGCGTGGCACTTCATCGAGTCGACGTACCAGGTCACCGACGACCTGTACATCGGCCAGCTCGAGGAGCAGATGACGCACCTGCGGATGGGCGAGCAGGAGACAGCGACGGACTACTGCAACCGGGCACGGCGACTTCTCGCCACCATGAGGATGGCCGGCGTGCAGTATTCCACGGCGTCGTATGTCACGCACGTCCTAAAGGGGCTCCCGAGCAGCTACAACCTGCTGAAGCGGCTGTCAGTGGCGCCGAGCACAAGGGCGACGCTTAACGAAGATTCCCTTACCTCGTACATCCTGCAGGATGAGGCGATGCAGGAGGCCGAGAAGTCCACGGAGCTCCTGCTGCAGGCAAACTACGCCGCCCCGGCGAAGCAAGGTAGCCGACCAGGGCAGCGCGGCAAGCCTGGCAGCGGTGGTAGCGGAGGTGGGAAGCCGGCCAAGGACGCCGACAAGGGTAAGTCGGTGAAAGAAGGCGGTCGTGGAGGAGGAAGTCGGCGTCGGGAGTGTTGGATCTGCCACAGCCCCGACCACCTCTCCTTCGAATGTCCCGACCGCAGCGAATCCGACGACGACGACGCCAAGGGAGGCCGCGGGAGGTCGGCCAGCCGTCGTCCACGTCGAGGCAACCAGCCGCGCAAGGAGAAGCAGTCGAACAAGTCGACCTCGGCGAAGGACGCCGACTCCTCTGCTGGCGGCAAGGGGAGCGACGACAAGTCGGCGTCGTGCTCCCTGGTCGGCGTCGTGGAGCCGACCGTCTCACTGGCGCCGGAGGCCGGTGAGGATTTCCAGGCGATGGCAGCAGCAGTGCAGGCGAACCCGGCGGTGGTCCTGCTGGACAGCGGCTGCTCCCACCATCTGATGGGGACGAAGGAGGTCTTCGTCGACATGGGGCCGAGCGGCGACGTGAAGCACGTGCGCGGCTTCAATGGGGCGTTGCAGGACGTTCGCGGCCGTGGCACGGTTGCGCTGCAAGGGGAGGCCGGGAAGCGTGTGCTCATCCCCGACGTGCTGTACGTCCCGGGCGTGCATGCGAACCTGCTGTCGTCCGGC